TGAGACCAGGCACAATCGTTAAGCACCTGTGAATAGAATTAAACCTTTCTGTTCCAAAATAGAGTGGCTCCTTCAAACTATCCACAGCAGTAGTCATTGGCACATGCTGTCCCCCCAAAATATACCCCAGGGCAGTGGCTGGAAGGGTTGCAGGTGCCACTGACCAGAACTGTGCCAGGGAATAGTTCAGCAATCAGTCATACTATTTGTACTAACGCCTGTACCCTGACCCTGATAATTTTCTAGTATAGATGTAGCCTCAGAGGTATCACTAGCCTCAGTTAAGACCTTGGAGCCTGCAAAGTTAAAATACATAACTCTATAGCAAAATCCTAACCCTAAACATCAGTGAACCATTTTTCGGAGGTTAACACCAACCCATCCTCTAACTTAGTGGGGAGATGTTGTTTTTCCAGTAGCAAGCCGTTACTGTGGCTAGGATCTTGGTGAATATGTCTGGAACCAAAGAAGGCCAAACAAAATGACTGTGAGGTGGTATTGGTGTTGACCAGCGGAGAAACACAGCCATTAGGCAGTCCCCTGCTGCTGTTCATATGAACATACTTGAAGTGCAGTGTACAAAACATACCTTTCCTGCAGAGGCATTGTCATCATCATCCTGGCTTGAATTTGAATTTGCAGGTGATCTTAGGTACTTCTTACGAAGTCAGACAGGGCTGTCACCCCCTTTTCTGCCGAAGCATCACTAGTACCCCTGAGACCAGCTGAGGAAAGCAGGTTTTAATGTTACCCCTGATCCACACCAGGGTGTGATGCTGAATTGACTTCACGTGTAGAAATTCCCACAGCCTGTGCTTTCAGTAATTCTGTGCGCTTGAGCTTGAAAGAGCTACACTGTAGTACTTTGCAGGAACATGCAGGGGGATTAGCTGCTTTGTAAGGGAAGGAGGAGTTGTGGTTTCTTGTTGGTTCCAAAGGGACCTCTTTGGACTCCCTACCATCCTATCACCGTATCCAGTGCTCCCAGCAAAGCATACACAAATGGAAGTTGGCCTTCAGTGCTTATCTGGGTGCTGTGGAAAACAGAGAGCAGAAGATCCACATGAAAGGTGGAACTTTTATGCAGCATACTGCTGCACCAGAGGAGCTGGCAGCTCCAAACGGTGTCCAGCCTTTCTGCTGGAGGAGCAACGCAAGCTTTAAATAAAAGACAAATGGTTGGGGAAGGACAAGTGAAGGAGGAGGTCAATTACGACGTGGAGGAAAGGACGAATGAAAAAAGCCCCATTCTGTTTCTTTCTCCATCTCATAAAGGATGAACATGTGTTCTCACTTCTTGTTTTCTCTACCCCCAGGCAAAGCCTAATACTGCTAGAGGTGAGCCACCCACTCTGGGTGCACCTCCAGATTAGGTTGTATATACATGACCGTTACTTAGGAGTAGAACAGGGTTTTTTTTGGATTATGGATAGAGGAGAAGAGAATCTGGTAAGTAAAAAGTTTAGATGAACTGGTGGGAGTGGAAGTTGCACCGAGGTGCAAAATAGGCCTTTTAAGACACAACAAGTAGCAGCCCTCTAACAGGTTAAAAAAGGGAGGCTTAAGTAGATGCTCATCTAGAAATATTTCTATCTCTGGCCAGTTATTGTTGAAGCATTAAGGAGAGACAGCAGGGAGGAACTGTTAGACTGTAGGCTCTAACTACATACCAGACCAACAAATAACAGCCAAACCCTGATCAGATTTTTTTTTGAGATTCATGCATACCGTTAACTCCAATACTTGAACACCAAAGTGAAATTGCAATTCTAGCATCTAATTCCTTTAAAATCTAGAAGATAGGTTTTGTTCTCTAGGCAGAGGACTGGAATGAAATCAAGAATTGCAAGTATTACTTCAGAAGGAACACCTAAACCTCAATGCAAAAAAAAGTAACTGTGGAGTCTTTGAAGCAGGACATGCTGCAACTCGTTCTTTCTTCTTTCACCTGAATGCACAGCTCAGAAGCAAGGCTGGACAGTCTTTGCACCAAGGCTAGTTTTGTTAATTGTCAGTCTTTTGTGGTGTTTTTTTCTTCTTTTTTTGTAATTTTTTTCTTTCAGGTTAAGCACTAGCTTAATTAAAATTAAATTGTAATTTTTAATGGAGAACTGATTCTTTTGCAGAAGTGCGAACCCCACTGTAGATTCTTCTTGATTTAAAGGAAGCTTCTGTTGTTACAGCTTGCTCCTACAATTCATATAAAGACAAATCTGTCAGGTTGATTTCTAGAAATACTCATTCCGATAGTTGACATGGATCTGCTGTATTTTATTCATCAACCAGCCCTGGAGTTCTGATGATTTATACATTTTAATCTCCTCTGTGTTTACAGTGTATAAACTTCTTCATCAAAGCTTCAAAATAAGTGGATGTTTTCAAACAAAGCCTACCTCTTAAGGACGGAAGAACCTCATTTGACTGATACTCTGATTTCATTCATTCAGGCTGCTAGATTGGTTTCTAGTGCAGTTACTGTTTTCAACCTTGCTCTGGTGCTCGTTTTGGTGATTCATTTGCTTTATACACAGTTCCTTACCTGAATTAGCAAATGTTCTTCCTCAAGTGCACCTGACCTTTGTGTTGGAATCATGCTGAAAAAAATATTCTGCTTTGATAGGGAAAGCTAATTTATTCTTAGGTACTGGGCTAATTTTTTCTCTGTTATATCCTTAATGGATATTACTGCTTCTCTTCAGTTATACTAGGGAGTATAAAGAGCCTCGCTGGCTCTGGTTAAAATGACAAAAAGTGTTTTTTCCAAGAGAAACCTCATCCTTCCAACAGATCTCTTTGGTAAGCTAGCTCCCTTGCTGGCGTGTGAGCACAGCATGTGAACTCAGCACCACAGCAGTCCAGACGATGCATGGTTCATGCTCTGTATTAAGTTGAAGGGTGTACAATAAGTTCCTGTAGCCTGCAGATTAATGTTAGAGGTGGGAAGCAACCACTGAGAGTTCTTTAACACCTCATTGATGGTGCTTAACCATTTCAGTTCCCTGCTAAGCTCTAGCAGCTCTTCAGGATACAGAGAGGGGTTAGTCCTTTGAAAGGATCGGCACAAACAGAATTCTGGATGCATTTTTGCTAGGCCCAACTTAAACGCTAGTTCAATATCTCCTAAAACCGGCATTTTTTTTCAGTCTTCTCTCCTCCCCCTTCACACTGTTTTTCTGTTGATCCCATCTCCCCCCCACCTCTTGACACTACAATTCTAGGCCAAGAAATAGCCAGCTCCCCGATTGCTGGCTCTAGCTCAGGAGTGGAAGAGCGAGAACTGATGGTGATGACTGGGTGATGACTAGCTGCAAGCATAAACCCCGCTGGCCATGACTTGGCTGAGCTGAGGGTCTGCCAACAAAGGATTAAAGGTAGATGGTTCCTGCTGGAAGCACGTAAAAGCACTTTATTTTCCCCCTTGAACCTTCTGTGACTCAGAAAGAAACCCTGCCGTACATACACAACTCTTCCAACTGTGTGAACTGTAGGAATTTGGCATTTCACAAGGGTGCTCAGCATTTTAGGGAAATCGACTATAAATGAGTGCAGTGAATTGTTATGCATACATTTTAAATGTAATATCAACTGGTTTTGCCTCATTACCATGTTGTCATAATGGAGTCATGACTTTTCCAAGAAAAAAAGAAGATATGATTCAGCTGACCTGGGAAATAAGCTTTTATAGTAAATTGGAAAAATAAAGCTGGATTTCACAATATTATGTTATACAATTATATCAGTTTAGTATAGTAAGTGTGATTTGCTTTTGTCTTTTGAAGGTAACTATCTAGTGATTTAATACTCTATTTGTCAGCAAGTGAGCATGTATTTCCAACACTCTAGATTAAATCTTAAAATTGATAATGTGGAGTTTGACCTCCATAGTTACTGCCTGATAAAATACAAGTAAATACGTTGTTTAAAGTATGCGGTAGACAAATATATAGGCAAAAGACTTCAGATATTATGGTGAAACTATTTGCGAAGAATATCAGCATTTACTTATCATTCCTATCATTGCTGCTGTTATTTTATATTAACAGTTCTTTAATTATGTGAATGCCAGAAGGGTAAATTCACAAAAGGGAAAATCACTTTACATATAACTTAGTGGGATAACAACGTCTAGAACCTATTTTAAAGAAAGTATGACAGACATCTTTCATTCAGCAGTCTGCCACAACAGGAAATTACTTCCTCTAATACGCAATGAAATAAATAAAGGTCAGATGGTTCGTTTGTCTGCATTTACTTTGCACAGTTCTACCAGTAAAACAGGATGTTTTCTATTAACATTGCTCCAGGTTTCCCGGTAACAATAGCACCAAAATAAGGACCAGATTTTGTCTAGGTGAAATTCACTCCTCCTGCATAAAGCCCTATGCCTAGAATCTGCAAAGAAAAAAGCTAAAGTAAGATGTTGAAGCTGCTAGATTTATGTGTAAGCACCAGGCTGCGATCCGTACAAGGTTACGGGAGTTAGGTACTCAGCTTCCACTGAAACTCGAAGGAGGTGAGCACCTTTGTTCTTAAAGCTTTTTTGAAAATTCCAGCCCTGGAAGATGTAATAGCCTCCCATTATTTGCTCAGGGACAGTATGTATACATACATATATATGAATAGTGCCTTAGATATTCAAAATCTATGCAAGTGAAAGGAAGAGCATAGAGCATGCAGCTTCTCAACTCTGAAGAAGCAGCAGCCTTGCTGAGCCATACTGCTTAATGAGACAGGCTACTGGATCTTCCTCATAGACCACACTTGACTCGTGCCCTTAAGTGATCTTCAGCTCAGCCAGAAAGACAAGGGGCCGCGAGTTAATTGTTGGCAAACTTTGAACTGTGTGGGGTTCAAATGGAAGGAAGGGCTTTAAGTCAGCCATATGTGCACTGGATGTTCCACCTAACTGGAATGTGGTTTTTGTTGAGGTATGTTTTCTCTGGCTATTTTTTCCTGAAATGTGCAATTACAAAAAATAAAATATTTACATCACTACAAATGAAATTTCAGTGTCAGCTTTTTCTGTCATAAAATGGAATATTCTGATGTGCAACAGGTGAATTATTTTCCTTGGGGATCAGATACAAAACTGTTTTCAATACAGAGAACAATAAACTGGTTACTACAGCTATATACTTTCTGATCAAGGAGTTTCCCTGTCTTCAGCGGTGATGCTTGTCCCATAGCTCCCATATCAGCTGTGTGCCAGGCTTCACAGTAGTTGCTAACCAGTCGGATCCCATTTGCAGTTGAACCATGCCATATTACTTTCTGAGGCCTGAAAGATAATGTTAAGAAGTTATTTCCTGAAAAAGTCTCTTTTTTGCTTTATTCAACTGCACACCTATATGCGTGGTGACCTGTATTTCTGCTTTCCTTCTGCTAAAGATGAAGATAGAAAGGAGAGGAAGAAAAGGAGACCACAACCTGATATCCCATTCATAGGCTATCAGAAATGGAAAAGAAAGATGGCATAAGGAAAGGGAGAAATTTTTATCAAATTTCTAGTAACCCAAAATATTGCAACTTGTACTACCTGGTAAAAATAAATGTAATGTAAAACTTATAAATGGTGATGTAAACTCACCAAGATGGATCGGTCATGACGTTCCTCCCATCAAAGGAGTATATTGGAACATGAATGTTGAATTGTCCACCGTTTCCATTAAATACAGATACCCAGTTATTGAAAAGTATTTCTCCCTATTAAAATTTCAAAGCCGCTTTTACAAACAAACACAATCCAAAATCCACATCATACCTGACTTTTATAGACTTATCTATACATCTAAAATCTTATCTGCATTTAAGAACACTTATGATTCCAGCTTTCACGTCAGTTTCTGCATGATGCTCCTGAACAAACTCAAGCAAACTTGTCTCATCTATCATCTCTATGCCAACAGCTCTCTGATCCATGCCTTTGCCTCACAGTTGCATCTGTGTTTTATTGTCACTCCAAGTATTCATCTTGATCATCTCCATTTCCACTGTCCTTTTTCTTCTAACTGTCTAACGGGTTGTTTGAAAAATTGCTTATAACTACTCTAGCTATAGAGAAAATATAGAGATAATTTTATTGGAACTTCTGTTGAGGTCACAATTTTGTGAAAAGTGTTGCAAATGTTCAAGGCAAAAGCTTTGCACTAGGCTACCTCTCAAACTCCTTTTGATTTTTTCCAGTCAAAGTTGAAACAATATTGTCTTTACAAATTTGTCTCCAAGGCTCTGTATTTGCATGCACTTCAGAGTAGCATCCGTTCAGCATGTTCCAAGCATCACGTGTTATTCCTGTAGGTTTCTTTGGCCGTTTGTTCTGGGAGCCAGCCAATGCTACAGAGACATGGTTTGTTTTCCTCAGTTTTAGAGTGTGTCTGTTTATGTGAGACCACAAAATGACTCATGCTCTAGACTCTCCTCTTGGTTTTATTGGGGTAAATCCAGCATCACTCCTAAGCACAGAATTTGCCTTTATCTTTACAAATGAGAAAAATAGGCATTTTAGCCTACTATACTTTGTGGTCATACTAGAAAGTAGGACATAATAGCTAGCTTTGAGAAATGAGGATGCACTTTCCCTGCTGCTGATATAAAAAATATCCAGAAAGCTGAACATCATACTGTTGCTTTGTCAGCAATCTGCTCGAAGTAGGCTATTCTCATAGCTTTATTTCCACCATTAGCCGTAGGATATTGGAAAAAAACAACCATTGAAAATGCAAAGGAAATGTGAGACAGTCTGTAACTTTCTACTTTATCACTACTTTTTTGTTTCTTGAACCTGATTCTGAAATATGAAGCAAAGCTGCTTCTTTATAAAATGCAGTTTGGGTTGAAACTTTCTGCTTTTGCCATTTTGCAGGATTTTGGGACACCTACAGCCTATCCTAATATAACAAATAATAAGCACTCATTTTTACCTTAAGATTGACTATTGGTAAATGGTATCGATCTGTTTTTCTGACAACTGTGGACAAATCTTGCAAATGTGATGAGAGGAAGGCTCTATAGGTAGACGTCAAACCTGCTAGCTGGGCCTGTTGAAAACACTGAAAATCTGCTCGCATGTCACCAGAAAATGGCAAGTTTAAAGCCACCAGATGTAGCTGGAGAAAAAAAGAAGAAAAGCCACCATTTTTTAAAAGTTTATAACACTAGGAAGACATATATTGGAAACAAACTAGACCCCCCCTACCTTCCATACCAGGTAGGAAAGTTATTTGCTGCCATAACATTACATTTCTTAAAGCTATGAGACCCATAGCAGAAATACTTATTTATCTTTGAACATTAAGGAAACCATGAAGATTATATACTCCTAAAAAAATAAAATTCTTTTCAAAGCAGGTAATATTTTTAAGCAGAAGTCCTGGAGTTATCACACAAACAAAATCCCAACTCCTACAACCATGGAAATAAGTAATAAGAAGTGACCACATACCATTTAAAAATTCACTGTTATCAAATACAAGAAGTAGCATGCTTAAGTAAAACAGTACAGACGCAAGAACTAATCCACTTTGTTTGTTTGTTTGTTTTGGGGGGTTTTTTTTAGATATAAATCAGTTACCTTGCTTTCTTTAAATATTTTAAAGTATTTTAAATGAAGGCTTAGATTCTAAAATGTCTATCTAAAACAAGCAGTGCCATGAAGGTAGAAAATATTCTAATGAATATTTTAATGACTTAATTATAACACTATTGTTAACTTAAAAATTACTGTGTGTTGTAGGTACAATCACTAAGTGAAGAGGTATTCCTAACTCAGAATCAGGATTTTTTTTTCTTTGAGAGAAGAAAGGGGCCAGGATGATGAAAATAGATCTGGAGGAAAAAATTTAAAATTGTTTCTGAGATGTCTAAACCAGTTGAAGAAGTGTATTTGTAAATTTCTAAAGTAAAATCTGTGAATTTGAAGAGGAAATATCACAAATCTCCCTCAAAATACAAACTGTCATGTTTCAAACCACAGCTATGCAGTTGCAATAGAGAGCTCATACTTACTGCTGGTTTTCCATTGTTCATATTTGATATTGGACTCAGTACTGGAAGAGACTGAAATCCCTGTTATTTTAAGACATGTAAACAGATATGTTAAACATGTTACTCAGATCAGAATTTTAGACACTCAATAATTTTCTAAATGAAGCAAACAGTGAACACTGGAGAATCTGAAACTGTCCTACCTCTGAAAAATAAACCCAAACTGTGTAGCCAGAATACTTTATCTACATATCATCAATTTGGTGTGACACATAAATACGTGTTTGAAAGCTGTCCTGGCCAGAGCTGCTTTGCTAGACCTGAGCGTACCCATCCCACAGTGCTCTGCCAGAGCTGATGTCGGCGCCGGATTGCACCTGGAGTCCTGCATGGAAGCAGCCTGCTCTTGGCAGGAGCAGAAGACCGGTTCAGGAAAATTAAAACTGAAAGGGTAAGGAGGATGCGCAAACAGAAAACGTAGTGGGTGGGAATATTTCTCAAGGCCTTGGTAATTCCCTCTCCTAAGCATTTGGCATGTAGAGACAGGAAGGTCGATGATCTTCAGAGCTGTTTCAGGAACAGCAAAGTTTTCTTCTCTAGTTATGGTAAGTATGAGTAACAAGCCACTGACCAGTTGGGAAACTCATGTGGTGTCAGCTGGAGGCTGCAGACAATTTCTTGTAACATGAGGTCTAGATATTTTCCTGGTGTACTAAGTGCACTTCTCTCTGACCTACTCTAACTTTTTTTATTTCTTTCTGGACATCTTCCTTCTCACTGCTCCTTCCTTGCACTCTCCTGCCCTTTCGTTATCTCAGCAGTCAGATCAATTAACCTGTCATTAACAAGACTGTTCTCTATTCCCTTTGCCACTTCTTGGGTTTCATCCTCCTGCGATTTTTTGGGACAGACAGCATGTTCACATGCAGGTTGGTACAATAACTTGCAGAATGGGGTCAGGTACAAACTAACGATTGAGGCTTTAGAATAGACTCTCAGCACACTGTGGGATAAGCTACTTGCAGGTGATGATGATGTACTCTGAATACAGGACTGTAATCTTTTAAAGAAAACCTGCTTTTCAGAAGCACTTTTCTGAGTGTCCTTGAAAGGGACCAGGGCTTGATATGACTGACTTCAGTGTTACGAAACAGAATACTGTGGGTTGGGGTTTTTTTTGTTGTTGGGTGGTTTTTTTTTTTTTTTTTCAGGCAGCCTGCTTTGTTCTGCTTTTTGTAGGTGCTGGTCTGTCTCTGTAGTGTTTGGAGTCTCAGAAGATAATGGAAACAGATGACTAGCCAGTGCGGACTGATTTGCAAGCTTATGTAGTGGTAGGATGCTTATTTTGAACTGACAAGTCTCGGTGGAAAATCATGTTGTGCAGGGATCTGCCTGCAACTTCTGCCAAGTGTATTGCCTGGTTTTGCACATTTAGACTCAGTTTTTCTCAGTCTGATATTTTGTACTTACATGGCTTGATATGGCTGGAGGAGGAAGGCTGTCAGCAGGGATAGGAATTAGCTCACCAAGCTGAAAGAACCCAAAAGGAAAAGCATCACCAGGAGCTTCTGAACTGAAAAAAGGAATCTTTGCACCCATACTTCTCCACCTCTGTAAAAAATATCTGCAACAATTCCATTTTGAGTACAGGAGTTGGAAAGGGTTAGGACGTAGTGCAATAGTACCTGCAATTTTCTCCATCCATTTCGAACACGGATAAAAACCTCACTGGTTTCACTCAGATAGATTAGTGTACCTTCTGCTACCAAATGAACTTTTTCCAACATACCCTCAATGTTTTGGAATGTTGTAACCTGTCAAGTAGGAAAATGAAACACACTTCATCAGACACACAAAACATTTTGCAAGTTAAATTGTTAAATTGAAGTCGCATTTGAACATATAAATGTCAAGGTTTCTTCCACAGGAAATGCTCATAAAGTCAGTTTTACGTCATTTCATGCAAAAAGCTTCAGTAACATAAATATCTTGCTGCTTTGGCATACCAGCATCATCATTCCATGGATTGTAGTAGAATTACACCAATAGTTAATTTTGCACTGAGTGAAGATCATTGCATCTCTACAGTTTAGCATACCAGATCAAAATTGCAGTGTTCAGAAGAGCTTTGATAAGGCTTATAAATATCACACACAATTCTAGATACATTTGCTTCTGTTATATTTTTCTTAGTGCTGTTGTGATCTCTTTTCTTTAAGGGTATTTTCTTCATCCCTTTTGTTATGTTTCCAGATGCCGCTGGTTTACACACCAAGTATTTTTCAATTTCTCTGTTAAAGATCATCAGGAGGCTTAAATTGATGCCTGTCAGATTGGACATTGCCCCTATTACCTCTGTCTTTGTCACCTGAAGATAAGAACACAGTCCTCTCTAAGATGGGTTGCTTCTACAATCTGTTTGATAATTGCAGGTAGTGTAAAATCAGGGGCAAGTTTCTTGAGATTGTAATATCTTGACACCTGAGTGTCATTTCTTTCTCATTTCTTCAGTGTCAGAGTGCATATTAATGCTTTGTGAATCATGCAGACCCTACTATAGATTTGCATACTGGTTTTTAATGTTGGTTTTGACCTAAGTGGGCTTGGATCTCCTATCTAAGACAGTAGCTCCCAGCCTGTAACTACAGTCCTCTACCTTGGGACACCAGTCTTTGAACATCTGTTTCTCCCTTGATCTGTAATCATTGTCAGGTCCTGAATTTCTATGAGAAAAGGCAGTTAGCAGAGGTATGACACTACAGTAGGAAGGCGTTAAGAAACTTGCACACAGATTCTTGTTAGTTCATTTGATATGGTGTAGATGATCTGAAAGTCTGCGTGTTCATTAGTGCATTCTCAAATGATTGCCAAAGATACCCAGTGAATTTGCTTTTCTATCATAATGTGAGAATGTGAAAAAGGAAAAAATTGCAACGAACCTGCTCTGCTAGCTTGAATAATTTTTTTTTTCAGAAACTACAAATATTTAATTTAGAAATTAACAAGACAGAAGTCTTAGCTGTCATTTTTACTGCATGGATATCTGGGATAAAATTCTGATTTGATTCATGCAGTAAGAAAAGGAAACAATTAAATTTATATGTATTCTCTGGCACAACAATTTCTAGATTTGCTAGGGAAATCTAGTTTTTTTCTTAGAATCAAATGACCTATATTACTGGGTTTTAATCCAGTAATGTAAAGTGTTTTTTTCATGGAAACTGGGCATTCAGTAGTTATTCTAGTATCTCAGCATGTTAAGTTGCCAAACTCTTTCAGAGACATTGCTTTGAACATGAAATATGCACCTTTCCGTTACTTTAGCATGCCACCAATCTTTGCATTTGTTTCAATAGGCTGTTACTAACAAGGCAATGGACAGACTTCTCCTCTCATCACTTTTCCCAGCTATATGGATACCTTGCTGAAAAATTATGAGGTTCAGAAAACCAGAAAACATTCTAGTAAATAAAAACACAGGATGGAGCCTTCCCTCCTCTGTCAGTGCTACTAATGACCGCCAAAAGATTTGAAGCAAGGTTTCAATGGCAAACTCCCTTATTTTGCTGTCTTACCAGATTCCTGGTTGCAGGTGACCCTGGCTCTCCAGGAGGACCTGGTGGCCCAGGCATTGCGACTGCTAAAATAAAACAAGCATACAATACATGTTGAAGGTCATCTTTTTTGAGAGAGAAGGTGAGTGACATAAAGAAAGGACTTAGTGGTGGTGTCTAGGAGTAGTGGGAACTTTAAATAGCCATAGGCCTTACACAGTCAAGTTCTGAATAGCTGTGTCCAAGCCAACTACAGGAAATGTATTCTAAGGATTTTTTAAAAAGCAATGGTGAGGCTTAGTCTTTTCACTGTTATTTGAGAAATTAAGGTCAACAGGCTGCAACCTGTGGTAGATATTCCGCAAATGAAGAACCAGATCTGCTTAAATTGACCAGAATGCTCTTTTGCTAGCTGCTAATGACATGCATATGGAAGAGGAAGAACTTTTAGCTCCTGCCGATATAGGCTTTGAGGGAGTCATTATATCTTCTGCTCTAAAAGTAAACAAAAATGAACTTTTCCTGAGATAAAAAATTCACAAATATAAGCTCAGTTTATATTTCAAAGCAACAAAGAATTCTCCAGTGGTATGAACTTGAACTTCTAAGACTGCAGTCCACAACATCAAGAACCTAGTACCTGTCTCTACTCCAAAACTGAATTTCTTCACCTTGAGCTGGAAATCCCTGTTTTCTGGAGTAAAAACTCCTTTCTTTTAAGGAAGGAAAGAAGGAAAGATATGGAAGACTGAAAGCAAGCATCTCGTGCAAATGCAATCATGATAATGGAACTTTGAAGCTGTTTAGAAGAAAGAGCTTCTACACAAGGACCCTGCTGAGCATCATGGTGTGTCCCAGCAGGGCTCTGTAGCTGAGATCTGGGTGGATCTTGTATTAACCATAAGTAGAAACTCCTTCTGTAGAGGAAAAGAAAGACGCACAGTGGGGGCAACAAAACAAGTCCAGGGGTATCCAGGAGAGTACACTAGTATACTGCTGGGAGGCAATATAAAAGGCTCAGTAAGAAATCTGATTAGGAGCAAAAGAGCATGATGAGAGCTAGTGTGAAATGGAAAAAAGAGATCTAATAGTTGGTGGATAGTTGTCAAACTACCTGAGCATGGGGAAGTCTAGCATGTCCTAGCATGCTGGTGAATCTGGAGTATGAAACATGCACAAAGAACTGCAAGGTTCAGCTCCTAACCACTCCCCAGTTCCTACCTTGATGGGCACTTGAAAATGTTGTTCAGCTGCTCTTAGCTATGAAAATAGTGCTATAATCCCAAATATGGACAGAATTGCTCTTTAAAAGTGAAGGAGAAATGGAGGAATGTAGGAATATTCTCTGAAACCACCCTTTGGAGAAATTTTGGTAAGCACATCTGATAGCCCTCCCCACAACAACCAAAGTCCACTCATCCACAGCTTACTGGTACAGCAACTAAACGGACTGAAGGAGAGTAACAGAAGATAAGCTAAAGGAGTGTACCTTCTGCCTTCATAATTTTTGAAGGAATCAGGATCGCAGTGATCTTCAGTGAAAGTGGAGCTATAGATTCCCCTTCACCCCCGCAAATACATTCAGTGAAGAAAAAATATTGACTATCTTCATTTTTATTGTATCTTTCCACTCTGAAGTAGTTTGATAGTCTGAATAAAGGATTGTAAGATACATTTTTTAAATATAGTTTGAACCATTGAAGAATCAGTAAAGGCTAACCCTGAGAGCACTGCTTCATTCCAGAGCTTGCTTTTTACTGATCTGTAACTCTTGAATTAGGAGGCTGCACCAATAAAGCAAGTTCCGCTGTTCAAAAATGTTTTTGTGAAACCGAAGGAGCCTTGAAATCACCTTTTACAAATTGAACAATCTATGCGCTGAGCATTTCCTTCATGTCAATGGCAGGGGAAAGGATTTCAGTTCTCAGAAATGTTAAGAGCTATTTATCTGCAGATAAGCCGTTCCTTTTTCCCCATATTACAGTATGTGAGCCCCATATTACAGTAAGTACGAGCTTTAACAGAGATAACTGCCTTGAAGATAGGAAATAAACATCTGTGTTCATAACATTTAGTAAAATGGACATCCATCGGTGTGCTGCCCAAAGAAGCTTCTTACAAAGCAAAGAGGAAAATGTGTAGAAGGATGATGAAGGCTAATGGCAGAGAGGATAAATGAAAGTATAGGGATGGAGTACTACTAATAATTTGTTTTGTCCGACTGGGTCTCCTAGCTAATATTCAGAAGTGCTTAATATAAATTACACAGGAAAAGGGCTGAAGGCCCTTCCTTTATGGATGCTGAGGATCTGTCCATATTATGATGATCAGGGGCTAATTCAGGTACAGGCCTATGTTCCAATGTTGAACATATTAAGGATTTCTTCTTTCTCAAATATTCTTCAGAGGATGAACACTTCTTATAGACAATTAATAATATTTGCTGGATGACAGGTTGGAAGTCTCACCTTGTCCCTGGGCAGCTATATAAACCAGTCTGACCAGGCTCAAGAAATACCTGGAGAGAAAAATTGGAGACAGAGAGGTCTGCTCCCCCAACTAGCATACTGGAGGCACAGGTCTTCCCGGGAAACAGACTGATTGTTAGTTCTCAGAAATTGAGATCTGTATTAGCTAGACCTGCCCAAACAAAACAGATATGCATTATAGTCTCTCCATTCGGTTAACAATTCCCTTTCTGTTAGTACACCATCTTAATCTGAGATTAAGGAATGCTTTGCTCTGGTTTTACCTGGCTAGGTTCCCATGCTGGTCACAGTTCCCATAGGGAGAAATCAGTCGCTCACTCAGGCAGACCTATCGAGTAGTGTCAGAGGAGCCCAGGACCCCATCCACCAGAACCTAGTCTAAAAGCTGGACATTAACAGTATGAGGCTTGTCACTAGCAGATCTGTGACCGAAGAGGAGTCAAAAGCACAAATGTCTTGAACTGTGACACTTGGTTTATAGCCACGTACTCCCTTTGGTGCAAGTTTGAGATAATTCACCTGAAGCTCCAGTGCCATCTTGTTTGCAAAGTTCCTCCCCTGATGTGACTATTTGTGCCATATTTTACTCCTTTTCTAATCCAATAAGTTGAAAATCAGTAAAGGTACAGTAACCAACCCTTCCAAAGTTTTGTTCAGCATTTGCATAACAACTAGTTTTTAGAAGCAGGTCTCCAGCGGTTTCATTCTAGACCTAAACTCTACTGTGAGTATTGCCTTTATATCAGAGAATCATAGCATTATAGAATCATTTAGGTTGGAAAAGACCTTTAAGATCATCAAGTCCAACCATAAACCTAACACTGCCAAATCCACCACTAAACCATGTCCCTAAGTGCCACATCTACACATCTTTTAAAC